AAAAGGTAATAAAAATAAGAGAAAATAAGAGACTAACTAGCTTCCCGCTCAAATGACGCACAATACATTAACTTTGCTCCGTACTCAGATGTTAGAAAACAAATTAAAGAAATCACAACCTCCCTTTGGCAAAACATATGGAACACCCAAACAAACAAACAGTGAAAAGATGGAAAATAAACCCAAACATAAGTATTACAAATGAAAAAAAACTAAATCGAGCCAGAATTGGTCACACAAAAATGACATACGGATACTTTATGGCAAAAGACGACCCACCTATATGCCAAGTATGTGTAATATACGGATGTTAAAATCTAATTATATGTTGGAACTTATTGTTCCAACCTTCTGATATATTATTAGTCCTACTATATTATCCAATTTTGTTGCATTGTGCACGTTCCACATAATTGTGGAGAAAACATAGATGGGCTTCTTATGAAGCCCAAAACTTACGTATTGTTAATTAACTTGTACGTTTCATTAACAAATGTTACATCGAAGTATGTTAAAATATCATCCACATCATTACCATATGAAAAAGATCATCATATCATAATCTATAAAAAAAGATATTTAAATTTTTTATATTTTTTATAACATTTTCTTTCATTATAATAGTTCGGTGTCAATTGTCCGTGTTCTAAAAATATCGGGTACAAAATGAGTCCGATATCGAAAAAACCGTTGGATATCAAACGTCCCTGGTGTTAATTATCGGAATACCGTTACCCACATATTATAATTCATATAATTACYATCCCAATTTGCGATAAAAATCATTAAGAGATGAATACATAAATTCGACAATGCAGTATAATATTATTATAACAAAATAAACAATACGTGATATTTTTTTCTAAATAAAAGTTGTGAACCACCAGATTTATAACACGGTTGACAGGTTCCTTTTGAAAATTTTAGGGGCAGCCCAGGCACCCTAGGCTGAGTAGGCTGCCACCGTAGACACACCTATGATAAAGRTAAATAATATACCCTATAATATTGTATAACTAAGTAGTAAGCATTAAACAATTGTATTTGAGGTACTTATTATTATACGGCATTATTGTAAATATATAATTAAGGTTCCTATAATATATTTATTAGTCAGTTTATTATTAAAACAAGAATAATATTATTTGAAATACAATTTCAAAGTTTATTAATTTAATTAATTGAAACTACGAATTAATTGTACACATTATAGAATTAGATATAGTTCATTGAATATGTTCTGATGATCAACATGTAGCATGTGGCGTATGTATGTAGGTACACGGATAGGTACTCAACTTTTTATTAAATCACACATCGGTTACATAACATGTTACTTGCAATTCGTAATCATAGCAGTTTTTCCCAGTTTTRGGCGATGCATTATAATTATAGTATTATCCACTAACTTGTATGTCAATGGGATAGTAGAACTCCCACGGTGGGTAACCGGCAGGTGGTGGGTGGTTTAACGGAGATGGYGGCTGTCCAATAATCAACGATGATCCTCTATCCTCCAAGTAACTCGTATCGTTGCTACTGACAGTTATAGCACTATTTCCTCTTGGAATCCACTTCTGGTCACATGGTACTTCCAGCCATTTGGCCACACGGTAACCATTGTTAGATACGTCTTCAATATCATCATTATCCATATCATCGTCTTCGTCCTAATTGTAATTAAAAACAAGTAGGTGAATTACAATTTATTACCATCTTAAAAAATAACTCGATTTCATACACACATCTCCTATACAATCACTGAATAAAATATTGATATAATATATTATTTTAATAATTGTATTGAAATTCAAAATTAATAAACGTAGGTGTTCATTATAATACAAATCTTAAATGAGTACTTTAAAGTTTAAGGGTATAAATCTTATTCAGCTCTAAATGAATACCATATTTTCCTTAAGTATTTTGCACACAGGATAATTCAATTCAAAGAACTAATTTATTCTTGATGTTACAGTTTTATTTAAATGCGATAATACTTATTTGTATGTGTTTAACAAGTTACTATACGAAAAAAAAGACACAGAATAAAGTCAGAAAAGAAAATTTCTTAGTATTTAATACTACTGAAAAAGCGACATAATAATATAATATACGCATTAATTGAACTCATTTTATAACTCTAGTACCTAATTGGTTATCATTTGTTCCTAAAATAACAGAAGTAGCATAATTAC